TGAATTTTGATGTAGACACATAAAAGTTTATTTAAATAACTTTCTTAGTACAAAAATAAATTTATTTCAGTCATTTTTATGGTTCCGAAAGTGACGGTTATTCTCTTTGTCTTTTGATAAAAAAAATAATTATTGTAAAATGTTTTAGTTAAAATAATATTTATGTGGATTTGGCTATATTATTTTGGTTCAAATTGATAAGGTTTAATAGACATTTCAATAGAAATTAAACTGAGACTCGAATTAACGCAAAATAATCTAATCGCGAGAAAATTAGGGTTGTTCGCCGAAAAACAAAACTTGCGAAAATTTCGCATCTTTATCTACCGTAATAGTATTGTTATTGCGGAAGTTGCATATATATATATATATATATATATATATATATATATATATATATATATATATATATATATATATATATATATATATATATATATATATATATATATATATATATATATATATATATATATATATATATATATATATATATATATATATATATATATGTATATATATATATACATATATATATATATATATATATATATATATATATATATATATATATATATATATATATATATATATATATATATATATATACATATATATATATATATATATATATATATATATATATATATATATATATATATATATATATATATATATATATATATATATATATATATATATATATATATATATATATATATATATATATATATATATATATATATATATATACATATATACAGTAAAATCCCGTTAAGTTGGACTCTCAATGAACAGATAAAAAGTATGCCTTTCTTTTTTAAAAAATTTAAAGAGGATGTGTAATAAACAATTAAATGCTTTATTATAAAGAACGAGAGATCTCTCTAAAGGTAAATGATATCAGAAAGAGTAAAAAGAGAAGAAATATATGTGAAACAGCGGGATGTGAACCTGGGTCTACGCGGCCAAATGTCTTAAATGAATGAGCTATACGTTCATTCAACTAAGTGAATAGTAATATTTATTTAATATATAATTAAGAAACTATATAAAACAGAATCTACAGAAAGAGATACGTATGCAAATAGGATTCTATATATCAGGAAAATGAATCGTAATGTGAACCTTTAGATGCTTATAATTAATATCTAGACTCAAAAACTATTTTTATATAAAAAAAAATATATATATATATATATATATATATATATATATATATTTATATATATATATATATATATATATATATATATATATATATATATATATATATATATATATATATATAATATATATATATATATATTAGGTATATTTGTATAAACATTTGAAGAATCATTTGACAACATTTTTTTATAATTTTATTATTCATTATTTAAACTGTTAACAGTTAATATCTTAAATATATCGTAACATAAAATCTTTTGCGTCTTTTTCGTAACTACATATTCCGGAATGCTTTTTCCGTAAGGAACTATTTCGTAAGTATTCTTACGAAATGATTTGTTTCGCAAGTGTTCTTTCGCAATGCTTCATTACGGAATTTTATTTATTTATATTTTCGTATAGCGCGTTACGGAACGTGCATTTTTGCATGTGCAACTTCCGCAATAACAATTCTATTACGGTAGATAAAGATGCGAAATTTTCGCAAGTTTTGTTTTTCGGCGAACAACCCTATTCAAAACGTCGTTTGGCGAAAATGTTTGTTTGAGAAGTGCGACTTCCGAAACCGCTACTTTCGTATGTTGCAAAATAGTTTTGTTTCGTATGTCAACTTGCGAAATGCTAACTTTCGGAAGTGGCTTTTGCAAAATGAACATCGGCGATTTTAATTGTTTTGTAACATTCGGTACGAAAAAATGTAATTCCGTGTTCTCAATCTCCAAACAAAAGAATGTTGTTTTTCCGGAATTGCACGTAATCCTACGGTTAACAACCCTAAGCAAAACACGATTCAATAACAAGTAGGTCAGCCAATATCGAAACTACTCGATAAATCAATATAGGAAGTTTTTTGAAAACATGAGGGGATTAAAAGGATAAGCCCTTTTTGAATTAATAGCTTTAAATTAAAAGTATAATGTGCTCCACTTAGCTAATCATGTTTCAATTCCTTTTTTGTATTACATTCAAGCAATAGACTATTTTTTATGTTCACTCGTTTTTTAGAAGTTGTAAACAGCTAGATGTCGAAACCTGCTTGTATGAAAGAATTTCTTGACGTGAAATAGTTAACTTTATTCAACAACACCAAGAAACACAGTTCGCTCAAGAAACAGAAAAGAAAGATTAAGATGAAAAAATATTCTGTTGAACAATACTGTTGTTTTATTTATAAATTGTTCTCCTAAATTTAAACATATAAAAGATGTAAAAAATGCTTCTTTATTTATATTGACATCTAAAAGAGGTTTTTTTCTTGGCATTGGAATAAGCTATTATCATTTTCATTTGATAAAAACAGCTTCTTATATATGAAAAGTAGGAATACTATAGTGTATAGGATACTATAGTATACTAATAAGTATGACAAAAAGTCGTTTCAACCCCGTGCTAAAAAACATTTTTAGAAGTGCATCATTGACAAACAACGACGTCTTAAAGGCGCATTTTTTATGTCTTTTTAAAACAAGATCAAACACAAAAAAGACTCATTTTCAATGTCGTCAAAAAATGTCGCTTAGATTTGCATATTCGACTAAAAAAAAGCGTCTTAAATACGCATTTTTATGTCTTTTTATAACAAGATTAAAATAAAAAAAGACATCTTTTCGATGTCGAAAAAAAATGTTTTTTAGATTTGCATACTCGATAAAAAAAAAAGTCTTAAAGACATCGTTGATAAGACTTTTAAAAACGTCTTTTTGAAGTCTTTTATCCCACTGAATACTTTCTTTCCATACGTTTATCGTCCATATAATTTATCATCCTCCAAAAAAGTACCAATTTGAGGCTACAAATATCAAGGTCCGATCTTAAAAATCTTAATAAGATTGGAACAAGTTATTCAAAGAAATATTTCTGTCAAATCTTATTAAGATACTAATAAGTTCTGACTAATTGTTGTTAGACAAGAAAGATCTTAAAGATCTTAGTAAGATTTGCAAGATTCATCGCTCTGGGTATTCATATATATATATATATATATATATATATATATATATATATATATATATATATATATATATATATATATATATATATATATATATATATATAGTCTTGCATGTCTCTTGCGTAGCATCAAAAAATATTTCCCATAAACTGTAGTTTTAAAGAGCGCGTTAATAAACCAGACCAGAAAAAGTTTTAAAAATTAAATTTTTTTTTTTAATTGATAGACTGCCTGGCCAAACCAAACCCTCAGTCGATGTAGCAGCACTCTCTTGCGAGTCAGGCTATTTGTCAGTCGTTGTAGCAGCACTCCCTTGCGAGTCAGGCTATTTGTCAGTCGATGTAGCAGCATTCCCTTGCGAGTCAGGCTATTTGTCAGTCGATGTAGCAGCACTCCGTTGCGAGTCAGGCTATTTGTCAGTCGATGTAGCAGCACTCCGTTGCGAGTCAGGCTATTTGTCAGTCGATGTAGCAGCACTCCGTTGCGAGTCAAGCTATAAGATAGTCGATGTAGCAACATTTACGCATGTTTAAAAAATGTTTTTTATTAAATCAATAACAAAAACACCACTAATTAAAAAAAACTTT